GTACGCAACTTAGGATTTTGAAATACAAAAAAGTAATTGATGTAGTATGTCAACAGTAATCGCCCACAGGCTACAACGCGCACTTTAAATCAAGTTTATCAATTTACATATTACAACTTGTTGCAAAATTCTCACCAGTTAATAATAAACCTAACAAAATAATTGGAAAACGCCTTCCTTACATCTGTGCGGCACAATTGAAAGGGTAACTAAAATGTAAATCAGTTTTTCTAAAATACATAGCTTAGAATACGTTACTTCGGATTTTTGTGTAAAGGAAATATTTTCGTTTAACGAAAAAAAGTAACTTTTTTGAAGCACATTCCTCAAGCAACGTAGTGAAATATTAAAAACCAGTATAGCTTTATGCAATATCTTAAAGTACGTTTATTTAATATTAGTCTAGCATGACTGAAGTGTCCACAAGACAGCCGTGAAGTAGTACTTAGAAACGCTTTCACTACACGGGAGATCATTTATGTGATTTGCATTAAATCCAGTTCATTCGCACTTAGAAGAAATGAAAAGTATTGAAACAGTCGATGGCTATCCGTTAGCCATTGTGACATTTGCACAGCGCCGAAAGTATTCCAAGAAGAGGCATGCATCAGGCACGCTTTCTATTCCAAAGGGGAACAGTCTAGGTGTTCGTAATTGTAAACCATGTTGTTCTTATTGTTTTCAACTCTAGACATAGACTTGTTTTTACATCTGTAAATATCAACAGACTTTCTTTTATCATGTACATCACTTGATTACTATACTATAAAAATAATATAGGACCAGTGTGGATTTGAATTCGGATTCCGATTCTTAGGTTATTACTTCATTCGTCCAATATTCTGGAATCTGAATTACATAAGATCATCGGGCGTAAATAAAATTGCATAAAATACGTAAACTGTAATCACGCTATATCGATTACGGTGTGAGTGCGGTTGCTGCGGACAAGTCGGCGGTCTAACGTGTTCCGCGATCACACCGTTATTGACACGCGGCAATAAACATTCAATTAGATCCGTCAAGATTACCCAGCGGTGTTGCGTAACCGAGCCACGTTGTACAGGCCCAATCGACCTACCTATTGCAACTATAACCGGATCGTTGCCGTTAATTTGATTCGTAATTGATACAATAACATGTCACACGATATCTCGATATGTCGGCTTCTACTTTGGAAATCAGATAGGGATCATATTTATATTATCCACTTCTCGCCTCTTGTAAATCGAGACAAGTGTTATTTAAATATGTACCTACATATACTTGAAGCAAGAACTTCGGAAAAGTTTTCAAGAATTACCGTATCCACTTCTCGCCTATATATGTTTATAATATAAAATAACTATGTTTTAGGTATTTTTTTTTACCAGAGCTCACGGTTACTATGGCAACAAAAGTAGTCAATTCCCATAGCAGTATAATTAACATATTTATCGGTTGTAAAATCCGTTTTTAGCGGATGTCTATATCAAGAAAGATATTAATATAAAGTCAATAAGGTTTCTTATTCTTAATGCCGTGATGATTAAACATCGATTAATAGGTATAACTAATGATGTAGAAAAAAGTATTTATATTTTCAAAACTTCCGGTAACCGTAAAATCATTTAAATATTTTACTTAGAGAAACATTGTGGCTACATTTGAAAGATTGATTCTTAATTACCCGGTTGACCTAAGATTCAAATAACAGAACGAGATACAAACAATTTGACAATGAAGATATGAAAATGAACGTTTGAATGTTAATAAAGTTGTTTACGATTTACGATTCTATTCTACAATGCCAGACACCCAGAACTTTGTTCATCATATTTTAATTACAGTTTAATAAAAGTAATAATTCATCATCACCTTAGTTTGTATTTCAGATTTAAAGAAACTTCAAAGAATTATTAATACCAAACTAAGTATACTTAATAGAAATTATTTCATCATAATCATTATCGGCCAGTATTCGTTCACAGTTGGCCATTAGACGTATTAAAATTATAACAAGCTATTTATATCAAATGAAAGAAATAGGAACATAACTAAAAATATAACCACAACAGACAAATTCTTTAATGATTGACGAAATAACTAGGTAGCATTTGATAAACTATTGTTTAAAATAGAATAATATTATTCGACCTAATACTATTCAGCATTTCAGTAATGGTCTAGCACAACTTCCAGACATTTCTACACCACAACTTGTGTCGTCGAGGCACGAGAATCGTGCGCTGAGATGACACGCTCGCGTTTTACTACAACTACAATTAAATCTAGAAAAAACATTGTTGCATTTTAAGTATATTTTACATTATAATTATGGACTGGATTGTATATTTCTTAAAAACAAATAATAATTCTACAAAGGAATTTTTATAAACGCTTAACATTTAAAAACTTTAACAGTTTAGAGTGCATGTACCCATCTTGTAAAAAAATGTAATGTTTCGTTGTAGTCTTTAGTGTTTTCTAACATAAAAAAAGTAATAAACAGTCTATAGAATGAAGTAACAATTAAATATTCATATTTATGCTAAATAGTACTTCAAGATAAGTAATTATGCACTTTAATTATAAATTTAGATAAGTAAGTAACGTAATAACCACGTGTCAGTGTAGGTACTTAAGATTTATAGATACCTAAACATTTTACTCAGGGTTGTCCCTTCGTATAAAATCCAACGTTCTGAAATGTAAATTGTTAAACTTTTTATTTCCATTTTTCTGAGATAAGACGATTATATATTTTATGAAGCTATTTGAACTATAAGACAAAAAAAATGATAAAATTCCAAATGCTAACATTGTATTATGTACTTAGATTTTAATATAGAACGCCACTCAGCAGTCTTAATATTCTACAGATTGGCTCAAATAAATTTGTATTACTTAAGTCAAACTATCGTTATTATACTTAAACTTATCAGTAGTGTCAACCCTAAACGATGCAGTTTATACATAAATCAAGAAGTTTCCGGACGTGTTACTTCCAAGTGCTGATAACAGTTAATACGTCAAGTGATGTAGTGCACATCCTTGTTTACTCACGTTTTTCTCATATTAAACTACCCTCACGTTTTAATTAAATGATTATTGCATACGTTAACGCGAACGAGGCGTTTTTTTTAATGTTTTTTAAGCGTTTTAATATGTGGCTTACTTATCGGCCTCTTTTACATTATGAATAATTGACACCTTACGGAATTGCTTAATTAATCTGCATAAAACTTATCATCCATGTCATTATCTTTGAAGAAACAGAGATATCAATATGTTTTATACGGGGATTTTGGTCTCAGAAACTTACGGTTAAAGGTTTTCGTTAAGTGGAAACGAATATGAAATAAATGTTACATGTATTACATAACTACAATAAATGCAGATATTAAATGTGGTTAAACCTACTGGGATCTGTAATTACTAAACAAAACGAACAAAACAATGAATTTGTTATCAGTACTATGGAATTATTCCCACAAGTTCATACATTGTTAAACGATGTAAATTTTGTCACTGCTGCCGCAATACGTGATAATACAAGAAAAAAACATTAGCCTAGTGTCGTTGCTTAGTAAATAGTTAGCAATAGTTATGCTAAACGGTGCTGACATTTCGACATTTGCACTAAGTTAAACAATAACGCGGCATATTTACACCGAGGCTTTATCCATGGTCTACTTTAAACGGCGAGCATTATCTCAGTGGTACGGTCGATATGCACAATGAGCGAAAGTGGTTATACATAGAATGTACTTGTAAAGTCAGGCCTCTGTGCTGCTGCCTTAGCAACGTTGACATCGGAACCAGTTGGCACGTTTGCGAAACATTTTGCAAGGTTCGCCCACCATGACTGTATTAATACAAACAATATTTCAATTTTATATTACATCTCTCCAAACACAAAGTACCGAAATAAACTCGAAAATATAATAAGCCGACCTTAGGCGCCGTAAAAGAAAAGGATTATTGTTACCGACTACCGAATACGCCTATCGATCATCTTATCAATGTAACAAAGAGAAGTACGGGGCCGAGAGCAAAACTAAGATTTATTGCGCCAGAGGCCGACGAAACGAGACCGCAAATAAAGAGAAGGCAGACCTTGAGCACCGTATCTGACAAAATCAATCGGACTTCGGACAAAACTTGACCTAAAAATATTATTGATGAAACAACGAATCAAACCCCTAAATTACTAGTTCATTCAAAAACAAAAATTAAGAATGGTTCTTGGTATCGTCCCACCTCCCCCGTAGAGGCCTTGCAACCACATCAACGATTATTTTGCCGCTAAAGAGTAATGTGCAAACGCTTGACCCTGAAGGTTAATGTTGTTTTTTTAGTAACTTGATCATTGAGACGGACCTTTTCGTATTTTGTTTCCAAGAGACAACGCAAACGCGATACGTGCTTTTTCGTATTCATATACAGTATGCGTTAATAATTTAGAATTTAAGCGTTATTCAAAGCTAATTAACATATTCTCATTAAAAATTATTACTAATATAATATAATACGATCGATTTTGATGCTAGCACAATTTATAAAATTTTCACACGTGACTTTACCTCGTCAGAGGCATAACTAAATTTGCAAAGATTTCATGCTTAAAAGGTACGTAGTGACGGTATCTTGAACACGGCATCAAATAAACAACCTTACGACATCGCAATCTTCAACTACTTCCGTACTCATACTCCCAGCGTGTTTTAGTACAATACTGTTGTGTAATAGCAACATTTATTCAACCAGTTTTTAAACGGTTATTTAACAGATGAGCTAATTCTCTTACGACATAATAATGAATCTAAAAATATATAAGTTGTTTCTAGTGATTTTATGACTTTTAATGTTATTTCATGAACAATTAACAATCGAGTACGCGAAAAATTAGAGTACATAATGATAGGAGATGGAGATGAGAGTAGGAAGAAGAACTCAACTAGAACGAAACATGCAAAATCACTTCGCCTGCGTGTTTAAAACTTTATTTTTAATTCCAGATTCCTGGTCAAGAGTGGCACATCCCGCGACCCTCTTTGTCCACATGCAGCACAGGCAGTGTGGACGCAAGATCTCGTGGCGGGTCCGCATCTAGTCAGGGCTCTTCCAGTAATCATAGCACGCATGTAAGCCCACTTCATATAAATACCATATACACGTACGTTACTAACATAGTAAATGCGAAACTTTAGATGGATGGATGGATGTTTATAAGAAAGTATCTCCTGAACGGCTAAAGGAATCTATCTGAAATTTGGCATAGATGGAAAACATAGACTGGAAGAACAAAGAGCCAACTTATTACGTTTTTTTTAATTCCGCACAGACGGAGTCGCAGACGATACTTATTAAATAACTAATTGCCCGTAAAAACATCAAAGCAAAAATAGATGAGATTTGTACATTAAATGGATATGTAGATACAAAAAAAGACTTATACACCGCACGTTTTTTTTAATCTACAAGCCATCGAAACCCGCACGCCCACAGACAAAAAAACATTTTTCATGTCAAAACGTCTGAATGTTGGGACAAAAAGTTCCATTTATATTAGACTTTACAAGTTTTCAATATAAAGTGAGTTTTTATCAAAATTTGCTTATTGTTATTTTTTTGATGGGGTTAAAAGTCTTATTAATATTACCAGATCCGGTACACAAATACAAAATAACTTTTATGGCAACATTCTTAAGCTATGATGAATAAATTAAGCGGCGCCGTCCGATTACATAGTCCGCAAATGTTAGTCATATTATTTTGTAACTTAAATTTATTTAATCATCATTCAGGTCTTAAAATGGACATTCAATAAATTTCATGTTTTCATTGAAGTTTTTTATGCGTTATAAAATTACACACGTTAATACAAAATTAAATGTTATATTTTAATACCGTATGTGTCTTTTACAAGGAAAAAAAACAAAACAATTTAATGTATACAATATGTTAAATAGAAAACGGAAATTTTGCATTGAAATGTTGATGTCCATAAGCAGGAAATATGTTTAATCTCTAGACTATTCTTTATCCCACACGTTATTACAAAAGTTGAAATAGCTTGTCACAAGATTCCATTAAGATATTTTGTTCAAAATAGAATATTGACCGTCTGTGTGGCGAAATAAATCATTCGCAAGTTTATAAGTAACTTTGTGTAGGTAAAAATTCAATGCTATAAGCTAGCTACATACACTAAGCTGTATAACATAAAATACTGCAAGAATCAATTAGTAACATTATTAATTCTTTATTATTTCAGAGTGCATCATCGGGTTCACTATTACTCAGCGCTGCAAACTTGGCACGAATGAACAACAAAGGCACTGTTGAAACCGAATACACCGCGTATCCAAAACCGATTGGATACGGTCGTAAGCCGACCATGACGAGCACTGTAATGTCAATTCCAGAAGAATCTCGAGAGGTGGCTGACAAATTCTGGAGTGACGTCAAACGTGGTTCCGTTTCGAGTCACGACGCCACTTCGGTGGCCAGCTCCACCCATTTCACGGTGGTGAATGGGTTCACGAAGCAACGCACCGAAAAAGAACCTAAGACTTGTTGTTGCAATCATTCCCACCAGATAACTGTATTGGTCATCTCCATGACCATACTGCTCTCAGCTTGCATACTAGCGGCTATTTGCTTCGTTGAAAGTAAGTGTGAATTTTATCAAAAACTTTAAAATATCAATTGCTTCCTGAATATCAATGTTGTTGTTAAAGAAGTTTCTTAAATATATATTTTTTTTTGTTTCAGTGCGAATGCGCAAGGAGACGGGCGTCTATAAGTATTCTTAATTTTTCTAAGGAATTCTCACGGCTATGGAATATTTTTCTATAATAGCAAAGAATTAGGAATAAAAAATTGCTAATTTCAATAAATAGGACCCAGTTAATACTTATAGACAAAAACATAAATAAATGTCGATGTATACTATACGCACAAAATAATACAATTCTGCATCCGATGACGTAAAACAGACGTGCTCCTATGGTGTGCAAAAAAAACTACGTCACGAAGCAATCTAGTGTGCAAGTGCGCCGTATTTTACACTAGTATGATATTGCGCCTAGTAAAATTTTCAACATATATTATTAGTAAGAACAATTAGCCTATTGTTTCATAGATATGACTAAGTGCAATAATTATCCAGTTCGATTTAGAATAATTTAGCGTATTATATAATTTAAAACTATTTATTTCTGTGCTCAAAATTGAAAAACGTTTAAATATAAAAATTATTAATCAAAGGTGAAAGGTCACCTATATCAAAAAAAGTTTGACTAAATCCTAGCTAATTATTTTACATGATTTCGACAAAAGAAGCCACATGAACGGTGCAGATTATAAACAGTCTTTGAATTATATTAGAATGAAATTGCCTTCAAAACACTTGCGATGTTTCCACGCCTCATGCGATCACCGATCTTGTGGCATCTTCCTAACCATATCAAGTACAGATAACTTTTAAAAGAATAAATAACATTCTCTAATATAAATTGAGAAATTTAATCAAATTGAGTGAATGTAATTGGTATTGAGTGCCTATTAAGACTTTTTATTTGTTAATAACATGTTAAATAAAATATCGTACAATCCTATCTAAGTGAAAAAATATAGCTACACATCTGTGATGTTTGATATTTCTAGTATGGTTGCATAATATTTGGCTATAATTCACACAGATGTATAAAATATTAGTTTTAAGGCTTTTTATTTATTATTTAATAGAGTACAAGTATTAACAACCACATAATTGGTTGCCCATTGGTGTTAAAGATATAAATAATTAAAATTAATAAGACTTATATCATCATTCTCCTTTATAAGACCATTGCTGAATATGCTGGTCTTTGCTGTACACAAGATATGAACTACATACTTTTTAACAACAATAGCTATGAAAATGTCAACATTGTGTTTGGTTTATGAAACTGTTTTTTTTTTATCTGAATGACAGCATTTCTGTATATGTTGCATCATTGATATATGTAATTTAATAAAGTTTACGTCATTAACAGCTGTCAAATTGTAAATATTAGGTAGTCTAATTTTGGACTGTGATAACTGAACACAAATTAACCCGTGTATTGTCTTTCAAATGCAATACTAATAAAACATATAAACTTTTCTAGTTGTTTTTTTAAACCCGTACAAAATATATTATTTTTAGTATTACAGTGCATAGTCACTTATACCAGTGGATAAATTAAACCTAATATGTATGTGAACAGAATTTAAATTTCCCCGAATTAAGTCTCTTATCATATGACTTCCTAGTATGTATATCTGAATTAATAATAAGGCATAAATCAAATTTTATATACTAATAAAAGTAAATGTAAAGGTGCATTATACCACCTCGTATTAAATTTAACAAAAAGCAAACAATTTTTTTATTAAAAATTTGTAATTACTTACCTCCACCTCCTCTAATGTCTGTGTCCATCTGTAATTCTCAAGGTCGCACCCATTTCCAGCATTCGGCTTGAGTTTTCCTTTTTCTTTAGGATCATCTTCCTCTTCTGATGCATTGTCTGCCTGCGCTTCATTGCTTGAGCCTTCCCCATCCCCAGAGTCAGTCTCTAGAATTCAAATTGAGCACAGTTTTATAATGATATAATAAAATTTCTTTTTAAATTAAATAACAGCTTCACTCATTAAAGCGGAATACATACTGACTATTCGTGGGATCTGAAAGGAGGCTTTCTCTAGATGAGTTGAATTGAAAGTCCTATAAAACAACTTTCAAAAGACCAAATACCCAGTAGCGATGGCCACTTTTAACCATCTCTATCATTATTGAACACAAGCAGTTTCTCACTTGGTGGCAAATAATTAAAAAAATCTATTAAAAAACCTAGTCTATATCGTCTATAGGGATGTGTAGCTTCCCAACTGCAAAAGAATTTTTAAAGTTGGTGTAGTAGTTCGAAGCCTATTCTTTGTAAACAAAGAATCCTTGCCTATTTATAATATTAGAAGAGAAGCATAAAAATATAAACCATAATTTTACTTGGAAGTACACCAATTATTATACAGTTGTACTTAGGAGCATAAATAATTTAATAACTTACTGCTCTTTTTATCTTTTTCAATATCTTCCTGCATTTGTTCAGCCTCCTGGTCAGTGATTTCTGTGACTGTAGCAGGTTCAAAATCTCTAGCCAGTCTTTCTTGTTCTTTCTTTTGTTGTATATCCTTCAACCTTTTTTCAGCATCTTCTCTCTCTTTCTTCGCCTTATCTGCTTCATCTTGTGCTTTTTTAGCTTGTTCATAGAACACATCTTTAACCACCTGGAAATGTTTAAGACATCATGAAAAAAATAATCTGAGCAATTTGTTGAATTTTCAATTGTAGAATCTTACTATCCCTCGCATAAAAGTAAAATTATAAAAGAATCAATGGAATGCTCTTCTTACTGACATACAGATATGACCAATACTCATATAACACACTCAATGCCACCAATTGTCCGATGAGTTCCCAATTCTATGACAAATGAAGAGAGGCATGGAAACTGTTAAATATTAAAATAACAAAATGTCCATCTTCATAGATCTATTCATTTTTAGAACTTGTTTATTACTCTATACAATTTTTAATTTACATAAAGCAAGACACATTACATTGTTAATAATAAATTTAAAAAAATCTAAAGAAATATAATAGTACCTTTTCCCACTCTCCTTGTTTTCCACCAGTAAAGAAGTCTGTTTTTCTTGATAAAAATCCAACAATTGTTGCTAACAGCTGAAAATCATGTAAGGGTAAATAAGTAACATATTTCCGTTTTAAGACTATGATGACAAATGCTAGTAATTTTAATTTTAGGTGCTTTTTAACATAAAACTTTTAAGAATTTGTACTCTTATAGGAAACAAAATGTGTAAATTACATTGCACTAATAAAACTTGGTTATAATCATTTTTGACGTGTGGTTTTGACATCAGTAAATAATATATTATTAGGACAACCTCAAAAACTTAACTCCAACGCTATAGTTATTTTTAAATTGAATAAGTTTTGTTCGTAACTTGCGCGCACTAAGGAACTTGCTAGAAAGTTCGATACTATGGTAACGACACGAGCGCTAGAATATATATAAAATGGTGAAATATAAAAACAACAAATTATCTCCTTAGAGTTATGCCCTAGTCAAAAGACGTGAATTAAAAACCAGTAATATAAAACTTACGTCTTTCACTCCACCTTCATGTTGCTGTGCCATTGCAAGAAGCATCGAATCAAACCTTTCAGGATCATTCGCCATTTTAAAGTTTAATAATAAAAATTTACCACTGCTTGCTTATGATTACTGCAGTTCTATTAAAATAATTGGGATTTAAGGCTTTTTCATTTATCTGCAAGATATACCGGCACAAATACAATTCTTGACAATGCTGAAATGCAAAATGAGTTGATAACAGATTATGAATAAAGCACAGATCTTATAATAGCAAGGCAGACTAAAAACAAAGTAAATAAAAAAAAATCTTTGCAAAACATCTAATTAAGGTATTCAATGCTTACTTTAACTTCATCCTACTTAATAGGACAATGGAAAGCAACACAATTTCTAGGTGAATATGTTTGATAATCTTTGTTTGATTCAGTATTTCAACGCAGACTTTAAATGCGTATCCGATCATATCCTTGCAATTTTGCAAAGTGCATTCATCTCTTACAAACCTGTGTATTCTGTTCAGTTATTATCTATGGAGTAAAGAAAAGTGAAAGAAGACTGTGTCATTGGAGGTCATGCACTTTATTTTTGTTCGCACGGATTCTGTTATAAGTTGAGATTCTTTTTAATCAATACATGATTAAAACATCATGCTCAGTAATATGTATAGTTATGTGTTGTAATAAACCGGTATGTGCTGTGACTAAAACATTATTGTAGAAGGAACAAATTTAAGTTAAAACTTGTGTCAAATAATAAACAGCAAACGTAATTTTGTTTCAGACGTTCCAAGGAAAAACGTAGTGATGGCAGATCAATTCTGTTTACGTTGGAATAACTTTCAAACAAATATAGTGAGTGCCTTAGATTCTTTAAAGTGTTCCGAAGACTTGGTCGATGTCACGCTTACATGTGAAGGTAGAAATATCAAGGCCCACAAAGTGATACTCTCCGCGTGCAGCCCGTACTTTAGGAATGTGTTCAAGGTGAATGACTCGGGACATTTATAACCTTCATCATCCGACAATTTATATTAAAAGTCAATTATTATATGGTTATTTACAAACAACTGATATAATACCATAACCTTACTGTTGTTTTTCAGGAAAATCCATGTCAACATCCAGTGATTATTTTGAAAGATGTATCAGCTGATGATATTGTTAGTTTATTGTCTTATATGTATCAAGGAGAGGTGTTTATTGAAGAGAGTAAACTGTCGTCATTTTTGCATACTGCAGCAATGTTACAAGTAAAGGGGTTAACAGGTGTTACACACCAGGTAACAATCATTTTGCTATAATTTTTTATGATGTTCAAAATAATCAGATTTGGGAAACATACAATTAAACAAAAAAAAATCATCACAATAGAACACAAGAACAATTTTTATTAGATGTTAATACTCCCAATGGGTATAACTACTTTTAAGTTGTGAAAAATAACCATTTCACAGTCATGATCAATTAGCTAGCTGAAAGAATATATATTTGTTAAATTTTTCTTGTCAATATTTTTAGAATGAAAACTTTATATCACCAAGGACCACAACAAAACTATACACACAGTTAACTATATCTTCTAAGTCCAACCTCGGTGCTAATACTACTTCAAAGGAATCTAAAGTGCCCGTTCTTAAGAAAAGGCGTTGCAGTACATCTGATAAACCAAATGATATTGTAAATGTTGAGACTAATAAAAAGAGTAGGATACGGGAACCATGCGATGTATGCAATAATCATAATGATTCACCAACAATGAAAGTTGACAATCCAGTGTTTGCACCGGAAAATAATGTGGATAAAAAAAATGATAGCAAAGGAGACAATCCAAATGTTACTGCCAATGGAAAAAGCTCAACAGCGACACAGGTATTCAATATTATCTTGGGAAATTTAAAATTATCTGCTTTTTAACAGTAAATTAACCAGGGCTTGACCTATATGATAGTTGTTGTTTGTGCTGAAAAATTGTATGCAGTAGCTTATTTTCTCTATACTTGACATGGAATTATTAACTATAGTTTTATAATGTTGGAATGTTGTAGCTTTAATTCAACTATAAAATTTATTATTAAATTGATTAATTATTGTAAATTAAAGAAAACTTGTGAAGTGTGAAGAAAAGAAAAAAGTTGTGAGCTGGTGAATCTTAATATTTTTTTTTACTTTAGGGAAATGCTCAAGAAGATATGCCAGTATCTGTCAAAACAGAATGGATTGATGACAACACCTCCACTTCTGGTGCTCCACTAGTAAACTCGGAAAATGATGATAGTCTTCCCGATTATGAAAATAGCATGCTTGCCAGATCATTACTCTCAGGTAAAATTAGTACAGTTATAAAACAAATTGGTCAACCTAATGAAAACCCAATTTTAGATAAACTTGTTCTCATTATATACTATGATCCTTTAATTTTAAATTACAGGTATCAACCCATCAAAGAGTGATGCCGCACTCAACAATCCAATAGCCAAAAAAGTTCAATCTGCTATTGACATGCATTGTACAAGGCCAAAAGAAATGAATACAGATTCTAGTGCCTTTGCTAATACAAAAAGTCCAATGAAAAGCTCAACAGAAGATTCTCTAGTAAAAACAGAAAAACATTCACCACACTCCGATATGGAATATGAACCAGAAGTGCTATTATCTGAACATCAAGTTGGTACGGATACCGAAAACACATATACTCAAGAACAGTCACAAGCATTACTTATATTAGCAGGTATGTCAAGTGGGCCAGTTTTAGGTGCAGTAGCATCAACATCCAATCACGCAGCAATTTGTGGAGACTGTCCACACTGCGGTATGAAGTATTCCAACCAATCTGCTCTAAAGTATCATGTACGATTAATGCATTCAGATCTGACTAATAGGTTATGCTGCTATCTTTGCCCAAGATCATTTACAATGAGAGAAACATTCAAAGAACATATGTGGACAAGCCACGGACAAAGGAATTAAGTATGAAGATTTGTGCCTTACTTTGGTGTTTTTTTATAAAATTTATTCATAATGTGTATGAACTGTTTGTGCCTTTCCCGATGTTATAAAAATATGCTCTAATATAATCCTAGTGAATGTCACATTAGTGTCTTAAGTGGGTTGCATTTGAATATGGATTTTGCAAACTACATCAGATTGTATGATATAATTGGATATACCTATGGGATGTGAATTAAATTAAAGTTGATTGGTCAAGATGTCAAACCAGTCCTGTACAAGTAAGCAAAGTTAAAAATTACCCTCAAAAGGTTCTATGGTTGGGATTTTAGTTTATTGTTATAGTATTAAAAAATGATATTTATTCAAAGCGAGAAAAAATTTGTTAATATTTTACAACTTTCCTTGTACCTTTAGGTGCTTATTTATTATGGGATGGTGCTATTCAAAAAATGAAAGCACTATTGGAAATTAACACTACAACATTGTATTTGAGATTCAATTTTTTAATGAAAGATTAAAAGAGATTTAATATCTTAATTAAATCATATATCAACTAAAGTTTTGTGGCAAGTCGCCATGAATTTAAAAGAATTTATTACATTTATGAAAGTTATTAATATTTATCATATTAGCTGGGAACAAGTCACCTGCCTGACGGATAAAACTTATAATAGTTTTTAGTTTATTTGACATAAGAAGATAAATACTATCCAAAAAAAGGTAAAAGTGGATTATTGTATACATGTTATTAATGTCCTGTGCCTTGGGAATATAATTTAGATCTGCATTGATTTTCTATACTAATATAAAGATTTGATTGTTTCTTTAGCATTGAATAGTCTATGAAACTACTTAGCCAATAAAAAAAAACACTGCTGTGAAGCTACACTATTCCAATGTGTATGTATGTCATTCAGGATCAGTGTAGCTGTATTTATTACTAGATTATTTAAATTCCCTGCGGACGAAGTCGCGGGCAACTGCTAGTAATGTGTGATCCACAAACACATCTGGCTCGGTGATAGTGGCATCTTTATCCAGGCTAACTTTGTCAGAAAATGTCCTTAGCCATCGGAAATGACACAATCCATGGCCAGATCTGTTTGTCGCACTTGTCGTTTGAATAATTCTTAGTTTATTGTAAAAATTATAGCTTTTTGTTCTTAATATGTTAGGATATAAATTTGTTATGTTGAGATAATTATTGTGTCCAAATAACATTATGTTTTGAGTTATTTAGTTACCACATTGTTACCTAAAATTCAAGTATTTCTTTAAACTTTTTACAAATTATTCATTATTGTATTACGGTTTATTTATTATTGTATTACCAGAATAATTAGACATACATTTTTATTTCAGTGAGTTTTGTTATGTACTGTTACATGTTTTATTAAAGTTTTAGACACTTTATTTTGGATGTCACTAATTGTTAGAGAAATACATGTAATGACTAGAGCAAGATATAGAAAAACATATGGAAATTTATGTATGATTCATGATAGAAGTGTTAAAACAATACATTTGCAATATTGCAAGTATCATAGAATTATATTTGTAAAGTTAACATGAAAATAAATCACTGAATAGACATTTTTACTATGTATTTAGGTCACAACAATTTGTTGCATCATATATATCTTTGTATTATTGCAATGAAAATAATTTTTGTACCTTAATAATGTTTGTAAACATTTTTACAAGCAAAATTTCCGATGTTTGAAGTTACAGTATGTTTTAATATGAATAGCTCTTTAGACTAAACATTTTAGATACTATGTCAAATGTGATCCATATATAAATTATCTTGTTTCTGTTGTATGATTAACAGCAGATGTACGGACAAATACATACCGTCTGCCAACTCTTTGTAAGCAAAAAGGTGTAATGTAGTTAAATTAATATTAGGTCGCATTAATGAAAATGTGACATGTATACTTTGGCTTTTGCAAAATTACAACCAGTATTTTCGAATATATTCGACAATAAAAATGTGTGGGGGTTTATCCCAATGTGATTCGCCTATAGATAAATCATATTTATTACGTATTTATGCTTCCAAATCCTTTTGGTAAATTGTGCCAAAAAGATTTTAAAACAATTGTTATTGTATTATTAAATTGTGTTTAATTCTACTACAAATTAATTTTTATTTTATAGTTTATTAGTTGTTAATTTATTCACGTCTTTCGTTTATATTTTAATTTTTGTTAATGCTTAGATTTATTTAAAGTCGATCGTATCGGATTAATGATTATTCACTTACCGAGTAGGTAATGCCATTAGTGAAATCTTAAATTATTATAGTAAAGAAGTAAGCAAAAAAATATTTTTACAGCGTATACAATTAAGGATAATTACATTTTAAGTAGAATAGAGTTTATGTATTGTTGAATAGTTTATTCAAGATTTTACAAAATTTATATTTTAATGTTACGAATAAAATGCTTCTACATAACTGTCTTTTATTCTTTTCCATATAAAATTACAAAGAAAGGTAAAAATCTTCTGAAGTAAAAAGAAACAATATTCTATATGGTGAATAGGTCCAATATTCATTATACCCCCTATAGGGATATAATGTATATCCCTACATTATCATTGAGAGGAAAACAAGGACTGAGTGTTAATCTGATTGATCTGGAATCCCAATTCCGAACATTCATGGGTGAATGTAATCGTTATGGGAACGGCCAATTTTGCTCTTTACAACTCTATAAAATCAAACTTCATATGTGCAATGAAATTAAAAAGTGATAATGGGGTTATATAAATACCACTGTAATAACAGCATTACGTATTTTTGTTGGGCACTAATATAAATTAGCAATATTTTATTCCAAAAGTAGTATTTTTTTAATAAGCAATATTTTATTTCAAAAGTATTTCAGACTTTGGAAAGGCAACACTGAATGCAGCATTAAGTTAAATATTATCTATGGAAAATGAAATGGCCGATTGTTGTTGCTTGCTGTATTTTGGTGAGGTGATGTGTGTTTGTTTTTTTAGATTAAGTGTCACTTAATCTAAAAAAATAATTGAGAGATTTTATTGTAATGTAACACACATTTTTCCGACTAAACTATAATAACGTTTGTGTTATGTTTACTTTACCCTTGAATTGTATAATTAAAAGAAATAAAATACTAAAGTTTAAACAGTGTTTAAGTGGTATCTTTTATGAATTATATCTTGATCTTGATCTTCGTAACTATCATTTTAGTGTTTCAAAGATAAGAAAACATCGTTATGGACAACACAATGCAACTTTACTATGTGAAGAATACATCCTCAATCTCGACATTAACCAGGAATACCGATCTTTTTATGGTATCCTGGTAGCCCATAATAAGGATCAAATGGTCATCCATAATATGTTACGTTGAATACGTATTTGAGGCTAGGCAAAGCTATGTAAATAATATTACATGTTGAATAATATTTAGAATTTCCCGCTATATGTGTAACCTTTTCATGAAGCGGCTGTTGTCAGTGTTTAGCGAGAGCTCCTTATTCGCGGTTGTATTTACGAGTTCATTTTCAGCGGTTAATACAAATTATTTTTGGCATTATATGTATAGAGTTTTATAATGTCAAGCAAAATAAAAAAGGCTATTTCCTCTCGAAAAAAAAGCGTACTGCCCCTTAAAGTCAAAATAGAAATGCTTGACCGATTACGCCGTGGTGAATCGTTTGCATCCATATCTCGGGCTTATAATGTAAATGAATCAACTGTTCGATTCATTAAGAAATCCGAAGATAAAATAAGGAATTCGATAGCTTCAACTTCTTTAACATCAAAAATTGTACGAGATCCAGCAATTGAAAAAATGGAAGCTGCTTTATCATTATGGATTGAAGATTGTAACAAAAAAAAAGTTCACCTTACTGGCCCTTTAATTCGTGAGAAAGCAAAGCGTTTTTACGCAAATTTTAAAGAACTCGGTGATAGAGAACATGACGGAGAATTTCGGGCATCGGAGGGTTGGCTTAATAAGTTCAAATTGCGACAGTCAATGAATAACGTTAAAATTGCCGAAGAAACTGCATTTGCAGACACTACAGCTGCAGAACTTTATATAAAAGAATTTTCGAGCATAATCACTGAAGGTGAATACAAGCCTGAACAAGTATTTAACGCAGATGAAACCGTTCTGTTTTGGAAAAGATTACCCAATAAAAAAAAATTATCTGAACATAAGAAGTCCACTAAGATTATGACTGCAAAAGATAGAGCAACGCTTTTGCTTTGTTCCAACGCATCTGGAGACTGTATAATAAAACCTCTTATGGTTTACACATCTTTAAATCCTCGAGCTTTAAAACATCAAGATAAAGACAGCCTACCAGTATTTTGGCGTGCAAATGAGAAAGCGTTGGTTACAAGTTCTATTTTCTGTGATTGGTTCTGGAATTGTTTTGTACCTGAAGTTGAAGCTTATTTAACAAAAAATAATTTGGAATTTAATGTCCTTCTTGTTTTGGACAATGCTGCAGGACACCCTCGTGAACTTGAGATTAAACACCCGAATATTAGGATTATATTTTTACCGCCTAACACGGCAACTTTTCTTCAACCCATGGATCAAGGAATATTCCAGGCCTTTAAACTGTACTATATTAGACTTTTCTTCAAAAACATATTGGAGGCTATAGAATATGTTCCTGATTTAAATGTTAAGCAATACTGGAAAAAAATGGACATCGCTAAGTGCATTGTTAACGTAAAAGAATCATTGGAAGACTTAAAGCCACATACATTGAAATCAAGCTGGAACAAACTATGGCCTATTCAGACCGACGAAAATCAAGAGGAATCAATAGAAATTCAAACTTTGATTGTAAACATTGTTGAAGCTGCTAACAGAATAGGACGCGATGGCTTTGAACAGATAGAAGCAAATGACGTTCAAGAATTGATTGAATTGCAAGACGGAGATATGACCGAAAACGACTCAGAGGAAATGTTAACTCCTAATTCCATTCAAGAAAATTCTTTAGTCACTACTGAAAACTTATCATTTAAAGTCCTAAATCTGCCTAAAGGTTTACTAATGGCAAACGAACTTTGTAATTTCTTTATAAAAAATGATCCGTCTATGGATAGAAGTCTCGCGTTTAAAAAACAAATTGATAACGCCATAGCTCACTATCGTTCCGAATTCCGAGACTTTTGGAAAATTGTAAAATTGTGAACGCGTGAATAATTATTTTGCCATATAACGTTCAAGCTTTGCCTAAGCCTAACAGGAATGTGTTATTTATTTTAAGGATATATACGTGGATTATTAAAACAAATAATTAAATTAAATTGATTTAGTAAAGGAAATCTTTTTCATTTTGAATCAAGGTACATACACGAAGGACATACACATGCCATAGTAGTAGACAACGGAAAGTTAAATATTTAAGTCACCTTAACTAAAAAAATATACAGATAGTTAAAACTCTTCTTTTGTACTGAAAATTTTGTAGCCACTCCTTACTCTCTCCTTTAATTTGAAATATCTGTTGTTTGAAAGGGTAATTGTGCTGAATTTTATGAGGGAAGTTAAAAGAACATCTGAAATGTGGCTTACAAATCTTGTCATAAGGTTATTACTAGCTGTCGCCCGCGACTCCCTCCGTGCGTAATATTCTTCCAGATTTTGCTATACATTTATGCCAAATTTCAGCAATATCCATGCATTCTTTCTGGAGATACCCTCTAACAAACATCCATCCATCCATCCAAACATTTGCATGTATAATATCTGTAAGATTATACGCATAACGTTAAAAGTATAGTTTATGCATGCAGTATGTTATTATTTAAGTACAATCTTGAGGAATGTTAAGGTGAAATTAAATGCGACAAAGAATTGTGATCTTTATTATTAATAAAACAACAATATTACATTATCTGTGTAGTATATATACAGTTATTTTTCCTAACATTTAATTTTTTTTACAGTAACAAAGGTTAATTATGCATGTAGTTAGAAAAAGAGTGCAGTACCGGTAAGTGTTATGCATAGTGACACATAGGATGGACTAGTGATGTGAGCCGTGTCGAGTGTAGACGGTGTGTGGATGTGTAAAGGCGTTCGAGGAAGCCCCTCAATGCGGAGACAGGCCGCTGGGACGCTATTGATCGTCATCCGCCGTCAGCGGCGGGCGCCCTATTGATTCGCCGCAATCTGCATGATAACCCGCGCTTGGCTTCTCTCTTCACTGTTCGCACTATACATTAGAACATTACTTACCGGAAAATTTGCTGTTCTACAAATGTTTTTTTACTTATTATTTTTTGATGAAAAAAAATTATAATTATAATATAAAGAAACATCTATTATGAGTAATTTACACATATTGTATTTAATACTACGATCATTGGTAAGTAGTATTTACACTTATAAAGGCATAAAATACGTATTAAACAAAGTAATAAAATAATTTGTTCTATCTTTAAACTTAGTGTTATGGTTTTGCGAAAAGACTGAAAGTTTTGTTGCGTTTCGCAACGCTGACTCTCATTGCCTTTCTGAGACTAGATACGGTTACTAATATAATTCTGTTTCGGTCTAACATCATGCTGATAAAGTATTAATTATGAATACATAGCCAGCTGTTAATATGTATACTTGTATAATATCAAATTACAATGGAGAATTCTAACCGAATTGCAGTGTCCAATTTCAATTGCGCGGGCAAAAGAAAGAGGGAGAGCGTTGTCGTTCCGTCTTTGTCGTATGCCAGCTGAAAAGTTTGGCGCCAATTTGAATAAAATTTGACTTTGAAGGAGAAAAGTAACTTGTAAATAGTTTTAGTATATGTAAATTAAAAATATATTTAAACTCAACATGTTAGTAAAATCAAATTATGCATCATATTTACGCACTGTTTAGGTACTGTAAGCAAAAGTTGTGTTATTAATGTATTATAGGGCGAAGTAATCACTAAAGAGGTAGTATAGTTTATAACCTCTTTACTAAATACGTTGTTGACTAGACTCTTGTAACTAGAGACTTGGCGAATCGTAGAACAAAAAGGGATCAATAGCAATGTTCGTTATTGATTAACGGTTAGTTTGAACATGTAGCACGTTGTAAGAACTAATCTATTCATTTTCATGTTGTGATGCATTTCCAGATACAACCAGTTACTTATTTATAACATTTTATACGGTATGAATTCAAAATGTCTTTATGGTCCCTACAATTCTTCAGAATTGTCATTCCAGTATCTTAATTATTAAGTTATTGTATTTTTTTAATATAAAACTTAGTCTACAATCGTTTATTAAATTATAAGGTCAATTATACACGGCGTTGTAATAATTAAGGGGGGCATGGTTTAAATTGTCCTCGGAGTTTAGCAAGTCAGTCTGCCAATGAATATTCATATTGGTGACAGTCTGAAAGTAATTTCGACAGTCTTCGAATGAAAATATTTACATAAAGCTTAGCAATTATTATTCACATTTTTACAGTCAATTAAACAAAGTTTTTGTCGCGTAAAATGACTCGACTATTTAGAACAAGGACGGTACACTTATTGTTAAAGTTATCTAGTACTGTTTATATAGTTTCTTAGTAATATGATATATATATCTATCTATCATTTTATATGCTTATAATATTTATGCTTTTGGTTGTTGTAATACTAAGTCGTAAACATGACTCTGTAATGTTTTATAAGTCTCAGGCCAAAAGAACTTAGTTATTGAAATAGTAAACGTACTCGTGCAATTTTATATATAGCATTTTTTCATATAGAATTTGTTTCGAGTTTCATGATTGTATATAATTAGGTTATAATTGTCGACTAAAGTTATCTTTGGCATTTGGTAAAATAGACTACCAACATATTTATTTTACAGGCAATGTTGAAGTAATTTGAAATTGTAATGTTTTGTTAATAAAATTTTAAATTTAAACCACCCCTAATAGTAATTGTCAGTTTTTTGTTTGTAACTTAAGTAATGATAATCAGATTAGTGGTAAGAATAAAGAGCACTCGTAAGCAATAAGCTTGCATGCTTTGATATAGTAATGTGGAGAGAGTGCAAATGGTAATCTGTAATCTCTGCCTACTCCCTTGGTGTACGGACTTGTTATGTTGTAACGAAGGGACCTAGGTGGTAGATGTAGGTGTCTACAGACGGGCATACTCTAGCTCTATACTTGTGTGTAACTCTATATGACTATTAAAAGTGAAAGTAACTATTTGTTTTGTATTGACCAGGTTATATCTTCTATTTTAATAAATTTTGACATAAAGATCAAAACTTTGTCTTCAAAAACACATGACAATAGGAAAACCCGTTTCACGATTATCACGATTATAATATGGAAAATATTGGTATGGGTAATTAATTTTAAAACTACCCGTTTTTTTCGCCTCAATTGAAGTATTACATAAATTTCGACTGACAGTAGTACTGTACTGTACAGAAGCTGCACAGAATCAACTATTACCTATAAGTATCTACGTTTTTAATAAATGAGATACGTTTTAACTTCCATCGAAGGATAAGTCTTCTTGATAGGATTGTTTATTTCACCTTGATAAGATTGCAATAAAGTGTCTGTAAAGTGTCGAGCCAAAGTATTTATGTGGTGAAATAAAAGTGCGGTTACGGAGGTCTATCGCGGTGCGGCGGCAGCGAGGTGCGGGGGACGCGGGGCGGTGCGCCGCAACACTATCGCCGATATGGGTCACTGACGCCTACGCGCGATTCGATTAAACTTTACAAGTTTTCGCCACCTGGATACGCCACTGAGATGTGCGAAAAGCAACAAGTATTTAAAATAACTTCTGAGTAAGCATTAGAAAATATTTGAAAGTTGGCAAAAAAAAAATTAAGGGTCCTGACATGTTTTCATTCGTTCGCATTCAAAGGACTTGTAAATTGGTGCTACAAATAAAAATATATCTTCCAGTTGTACATTATAAAGTTATTTTTTTATTAATCAGTCCAAATAATAAATACAGAGAAGAAACTGTTGTTTGAACTTATAAGAAGTTTGAAATCGGTTTACTTAATAATTAGAATATTTTTGCGCCCATCCAGTGAAAGTGTATACTAATTAATAGTGCAAAGTATCGATCAATTGTTTCACCATGGTTCTAAATATAAAATTCCGTGGAGGAAGACAAAGTTCGCGCGCAACACGGGCGCGGGCAGGCGTGCGGGCGCGGGCACGCGGCAGCGTATCGATTGCGCGCCTTCAGTCGCCGCCGAGCGCCCAGCGCCGCGCTGCGCCGAGCGGCGAGCGCCGGCAGCGCGTGCCCCGCGCCCTCGCCCCGCCTGCGCCCTGCGCCCGACGCACTCCCCGCTTACCGCCGCGCCCCGCCGCAACCCGCCGCACCCCGCCGCGCCACGCCGCACGGCTCTCTCGCCGTCGCCGGCAAACTCGAACGACCTCTTTTCGCTAACCAACGTCGCAGCCGCGCCGTTTCCCGCCGCGTAACTCCATACGAACTCATGATACTTTACAATTGTTGTTAAGTACTGTAAACTACACATTTCGAGTGTTATTTTTTATTATGTATGGGAAAAAATTATGTTTTTAATTTTATCAATAAATCAGAAGTAGGGTGAAGAGTAGTTAAGTGATGCGGGTGATTCAGGTGATGGTTGTCTTTGAGGCATGGGGCGGGGCGGCGCGAGGTGCGCGGGCGGCGAGTCCACCGCCGGCTGCGTAGGCGCACCATGGACTGCTGTAAGTACGGCGAGCTGCGGCGCCACGGGCAGTACGCGGCCTGGGAGGGCTACGGCTACGCGCCGCCCTACGCGCCCTACGCGCCCTACGCGCACGCCTACTGCCCGCCGCACGCGCACGACCCCTACGCCCGCTACTATCGCTACGACTACCCTGCCGCCGCCGCCGCCGCGCATACGCACCACAATGAACACGCTATGCCTATGGGTCAGTATTATATTTTAGTCTATTTTAAATTGAAATAATAAACATTAATGAAATGGTAATCATAAGTATTTTCAAAAACGTAAGTGGTATAAGAGTTCCACTGGGAGAACTTAAGGTGAGTAAAGTTTGCGTTTGTTAGTGTTCGCAATTACGAAAGTTATTAACTTTCTTCATAAGGTTGGGGTTGGAAAGTTGAGAAATATTCGCATAACAATAACTCTTGTGTAAAGTTTTAAAAAGTTTAAATGGTTTCGGTTAGGTTCTTGGAAATTTTTTTCCAGGTAGATGAGGTTTGTGTCCTAAAATTATCAAATAACTTATGTGGCTTATTGAAAGTTTAATAACTTAAAGATTAAGAAAAAATAATAACTTCTTATGTCTCTACTAAAATACGATACCTACTTTTTACGGCAATAAATTGATATCAGTAACAAATTATGAACTAATGAGATGTTATCGTATTATTATATTATTTAGGACAAATGTTGTGGTCTATGAAAATATATGTAGCATAAACGTTAATGTTCTGTGAAATCTATTTAACGTAATCAGTTTCATCGTAATTGAATTATAAACATGATCCCCAAACTCGTTACATTGTATTTTGATTGTAGTGGTACAGCAAGCGCGCTGCGTCGAGTTTTGTTTACCAATACAACTGAGATCGGAATCTGAACGCGCGCCGCGCGGCGACATTCTGAACAATGAACTAAGAATTTATGTTTACGTTTGGGCGGATTTCTCCGCGTCTACGTCACGTGTCGATAGCGGACCAGCGAGGGGAGTTGCGGGGCGAGGCGGGCCGTGCGGGAGGTACGGTGGGAGGCGAGGTCGGCTCTACAGGTGGTTCCCCCCGCCCCTCTGGTGCGATTGATTGCCCGCACGGCGCACCACCGTACGTATCGAGCGACTGACGTCCGCGCCTCGCCTGCGACTCGCCCGCGGCTCGCACAAGCCGCTACTGAAGCAGACGCCGTCCCTACTTACACTATGCAGATGTGCGCTCGCTTTGAACTTTCGAGGTTGAATTTTTATGCAGCCTGTATATTTACATATGCGATTGCGTCTCGACTGCATCTTACTTATCTTAGATTTTTTTCCGTTTATACACAAAATTTATGCCACCATAGCAACTACGAAACTAAATAAACTGCTTAATGTTAGTAAAATGGAAACTGAAAAAGCTTTCAGAATATCAAATTGCTCAGATTTTTCAAATACCAAGATTAACTGTATAATTTGAAAACCGTAGATATAGTTGTATACGTACAAAATACGCAGTTGTATATATTGCAAAACATGAAGTCTTAGGTTGAAATATACCGTCCGATTATCGTGAAACTTCTAAATAACAATAAAAAGTACAGAAGATACCTAATAAGTTACAATAAACAATTTTTAATAAACGTTTTTTTAGCAACATCAAATATATTTAAAAATATGCGTATTTAAAAATTAGCCTATGAATGAAATAGTCTGTGCAGACGGAGCGAGATAAACATTGTAAAGAATGAATATGGAGATAAGATGTTTTAACACGCAATTGAAATAAGCGATTTGTATTACAATTTATATCGTTAAATCTTTCCGAGATGTTAACGCAATACAATTGTACTGAATATTTAAATTATACCTTCTTTGTATGTTAATATATAACAAGATGTCGTACGCGACTCAGATGGCGCGGGATTAAAAAAACTAATAACTAGCCTATGTGTTCTTCCAGAGCAGTTATACATCTATGCCAAATTTCGTTACGGTTCGAGACGTTTCGGAGATACCTTCAAACAAACATACATTCATCTAAATTTTCGCATTTATAATATTAGTAAGATGTAACTTATAAGCGGCAGATAATGTTAAAACATAAAAGAAACTAGAGATGGTGTCGAGCTTCAACTTAATATTTTAATTAAAATATGATGGTTGAGGTTAAACAAAATTATATCACATAAGACAGGCATATAAAGTTGTAATTAAAATACACTCATATTCCCGTGCAACAAAAAAGGTATGATGCTTCCAGATTATGGGTTTTACATATAGCTTAACAACATTCTTTTACACATCAGTAAAATGACCCTACATATATTTAAGAAAGTACAAAAATATAAATATTAAGTTCTATCCGGGGTTATATCTAAGGGTTCTACCCGGGGTACTCATATTAGTACTAGGGTCGCATAGCAACAACTATGGGCTGGCGACGCGCTTGCCCGCGGCGCCTCTTTGCTAATTAGCAGATAAGAATCCAACAACAGTCTACGAGTATTACTGTTCGACTTTTAGACAGATAATTGCTCTCGACAAGGATAATTGGTCATTAAGAGAGTCCCTATTAATAAAGATTTCTTAAATTTATTTAACACTAAGCTGAACCACTCAGTTACAGTGAGGCAGTTAAAAATATTGTATGTCAACTCATAGTTGTCGAAACATTTACAACATAGCATGAATCATTGCAAGAAATTGACTTGGTGGTTTTCTTTTAGCATAACTTCATAATGAGAGGAAATGAATATAGTTTTATATACAACTACGAATAATGCTTTAACTAGGAATGCAGAAATATGCACAGATAGAACAATGTCATTTATGTATATATACTGATTATCAATATAGTGTACCACTAAAGGTTAAAGAAAGTGAGAAGCTGCATATTGTTGTCGTATAACACAAGTGATAAGATCCGCATTGCATTGCGATGGTTTGCAATTGCAAAGATTTAAATAACGTATATTTTTCTAACATACAATTAACATATTTTGTGATTTTCTTTGGAGCATGTCTTCGTCCAATAGTTTAGACGTCTATTGATTGAGGTTGATTTGGGTGGCGGATGATACGACATACATATAAGTAATGTATTTAATTTGTGTCAGATTATGGAGCGTACGTCAGCAAGGAGTCGCGCGCGCGCCGGACGCTGTCTCGCAGGGACCAGCGTGCGCACACAGCGCATCACCTGCCACTCCCGCACACGGTAAAATATTCTTATTATTTAATCTACACTAAGAGTTACTTAAATTCCCATATTAATTATAAAGGTGTCGAGAAGACTACTGTAGAGTGAGCAACGCTTATTACACGCTTCAATTTTGACAATAAACCTCACAGAGAACTGCCGTGAAGTTATTTCTCCTAGTCTATATGAGTTAACCTCATCCTTCTCCTATCTATTCGTCTATTGTGACTCATATGTGAGGGCCAATGACTAAAATATATCTGCAAACGGTAAGTACATACGTGAAATTATAAATGATAAAATAAATAAATTTATTAAAAAGTATTTACTTTCTTAAACAATTGAATCATTTGTGGTAATTAATGGTGGTTTCATTCACCATTTATATACCTAGTTCATTCCATGAAGAATATAAAATTGTAAACATTACAATTACTGACCTTGAGCGCGTTTATGTCTTATCCTTTCCGTTTTATATTTACAGAACATACGGCGGCGGCGTGTGCTTTAATAAAGTTATAAACAGATCTGTGAAAATATGTAGGTCAGTGTCAGGGGACAGTTGACAATGTGGTGTACAGGAAAATGTTAGTATTGCATTTATCAATCGTAAGCGGCGAGAATAGAGTCCAAATTGTCTTGAAGCTTCCGCTTTCCACGGAACTTTACTGTTTAAATTGTTTTCCCACATTTTAAGTGGCGGGTCACGCGTAGTCAAATTTAAATAAAACTTTCACGTGCGGATGCAATACGTATGTTCTGATTTATATTTGTACACAACGTTTTTAATATATTTTTGAAATTATAAAAAGTACCTTTAACTTTGACTTGAAATTAAGTTTTATTTTCAATAGAATTCATTTTGACTTTAATAACGTAGTACGACTATGATAACAAACTGTATGCAATATGTTAAAAAAAAAAAAAGTTTGTGTATAAAGATAAATGTAATATAACTCAGTAGCGTAGTTGTGCCGGCGTGTTTGATACAATTGTAGATTATTACCAAAATTAGATAGTCAACTAGACGGAAGTGCGATACGGGTGCAAGTGGTATCATTACGGCGTCGTGTTACGAGACAAGTAAGCGGCACAAAGGCGCTAATGAGGGCGGCTAGGGCGGGCGGCGGCAGACGTGGGGCGTACGGGGCGTCCGCGGGGGACTCGGGGGTGGCCTGAAGGCTGTCAGCGGTTGATTTTTCCGAGTGTCGTGGGCGCCGCGCTGATCGATAAGTCACGTGGCCCGCGCCGCGCTCAGGCCGCTCGATAGTTAGAGCCTCCGCAAATCTCCCGCCACTACTCTAATGTACACGTATGACTTCATTCCACACGCTTTACAACAACCTACTAATTATTACGCCTCGTTATTATTGCCAATGTAACGCCTTTCTATAATAACTAGGTATATTTTCGACATTTTATGAATTTTTCTAGTTGAAAACTTAGGTATATAAGTCAAATTCTCAAAAAGCCATCTTATTCCATAATCAATCAAGATTGATAATTGTATAATAAAAATATTACATTCCTTTAAATCGGACAATAAGTTAATTGATAGATAATTATAAAATATTTAAAATCTTTAATGGAAAGTACTTTAGTTTCGTAGCTCCGTAGCACTTTGCGTAGATAGTTCAACGAATTAAAAAAAAGTCATGTAAAATTACAAGATTTTTTTTTCTAAAATAAAACGTTTTGCGTTGTTCGTATTGTTTATTTTTTACTAAAGTCTATGTCACAAATAAATTTAATTTTATTGATATAATATTAGACATGTTTGATTAATTAATAATATTGGCGTACAACTATTACGAGTATATATACCGTACATGACATTAGTGTATGTATCTAAGAGATAAATTACTTTAGTCATGGTATAAATTTTCGAAAAGCGTTCAAAGTGTTTACCATCGCAGTACAGCACCTGCTCTACGTCGTAGGGGATTATACCTAAATGGTATATTAGTTCGCAAAGTATGACGTAGGTGCATTTTCGGTTAAGATGTGAGGGATGCAGTTGCAGCGTGGCGGTGCAGGCGGTGACGGACATCGATCGGCGACGCGACCGAGCGCGCTGTCGCTCTACCCCCGCCTTCCCCACGCCCCCACCTCCCACTCCCCCTCCCTTGCCCCCTCTCGCACATAAGGTTATCTCACACACGGCGTACGCACATCGCGTTCTACCCGATTCCCAAATAAAAATACCAAGTTATATTTATGATTGTGTCATTAATATAACTTTCCAATATTATTCGTACAAACTAACCGTGAGAAAAATTTATCGTTGGTTTCGAGAGCAAAATCCCAGTATAACACATACCATCATCTCCTACTTTCATACAAGGATTTTCGTCTAAGCCAACGATAGGCTGCATTAACCATTTTTAACCTAAGGTAGGATGGTGGAGAATATTAAGTTCGAACCTACAACCTAGCGTTACGGAGTCTTTACACTCTTACCTGTTAGGTTCTCGATGGTTGAATAAATATGATGTAACATATTGAATATGTTCTAATACTCTTCTTAACTAACAAAGTTTTCGTAGCATAACTGTTCGTAGCAGTAACAGTAGTAAATGTTTTAAGAGTATATTTTTGATCATATGAGAGTAAATGCAGCAAGGTTGTTCTTTCCTTTTAATAATACAAGGCGACGGAGTAACAATGCATGCCACTTTGTTAATTACATTCCACTTCGCGCTTTTAATCGATATGCTAGTCAACGTAAGTTCACTGACGTTTCTCATTGGATAATTATGTTTATGTAACGTTTTGAAATGAAAGACTACAAATTATATATTTATTTTGACTAAATATGTTATTTTATTAAATAGAAGATCTGCATCGCGGTTTTTCTCGTCAAATAGTTCTCATCGTCTTAAATAGTCTTAATTCTGAGCTTAATGTTAGTGTAAAGTCTTCAAATGTGGTTTTGCTTTGTTATAAAGTCAAACTTTGCAAGCGTCTTATAAATTTCTGCTCCTTATGACCATTCCATATGATTCATTTAAAGTGTATCGGATTCAAGTTTTGCTTTAAATCTAAATAAATATTAAGAGTTATACGCAATAACGTGATAGGTATCTAGAATTGTTTCCTTCGTTTAGAAAACTTTTTAGGTATTACTTGATAAGTAAGGAAGACCTGATTTAAGTACTCAATAGGTACAAATATATTTTTCAGCCGCCTTCAGAATGCGGCGGCTTAAACGGCCGCAGCGGCGGCTACTGCGAACCGCAGATGTGGCCGCACTACCAGGTAACAGTGATATTGCTGAATATGTTAACTTACTGTTATTTTACGAAAAATCACCATACCTGATTAATTTACACTCCTGTAATTTTCAATCCTGATTATCAGATATAATATGAACAGATGTCGATACGTTTTACGAGGTTTTTCACTAGGTACTAATAGTAATTATTTTGATTATTTGTAGATGGGTATGATGGGCGGCGGGGGCGGAGGCGGAGGCTGGGGCGTGGCGCACGCCGGCTCATGGGCCTCGCGTAGTGTGTGCTCCAGGGACCAGATGCGGTACATTCCCAACGACGCTCGAATGATCAAGGTCATTTTACACTTTATCCTAGATAAAAGACTTGTTAGCTCCAATATTTTATAGTCGACTAAAAAAATTTGATGATGCGCATGCGCAATCGTAACATCAATTGCTATTGCTTTAAACTAATTATGAAAAAATAAACTTCTAGCTCAATATAATGATACGAAATCATTTAAATTTCAGGGTCCGTATTTAAGTCATTCGAGTCAGCTGTGCCCTCCCGAAGGAAGGTCTACGCCGTACCCCATGTACGAAGATATGTCTTACAGGAGCGACAACGGGAAGCTTAAAGGCATGATGGAGTACCCGGCAAGGAGCGCGCCACAGGCTGAGGCGCCGCGAGCGATGCGCGAGTGCGCGGTCAGCTCGCCGCACCGTTCGCCGCCCGAGGAAAAACGACCTCCCGTGGTGCCGCTGCCCGCCTTTCAGCAGGCCTTTGGCTCCACCGAGATCGGCAAGTTCGCGGAGGCGTTCAGTCGCGCCGAAGCGGTGCACGAGGTCGACGACATCTCCAACGAGAATTTCGTGTACGATGGCTTCCAGGACTGGGAGGGGCCGCCTGAGTCCCAATGGGCTGCGCCACCCTCCGCGCGGGAGATAAAATGCGAGGATAACTATTGAGAAAGGTCGCGTCTCGTGACGCACTCGGCGATACGCCTCTTAGCAAAATTTAGACAATTTGTAGTTCCACCACCATGTTGCCAAAGAGTAAGTAGTTCGACTTCGATCGTAATAATCGACGTCGTAGAACTATAGGATGTGATAACAATTTTTTTAACATGTACGAGATTAGTTCGACGGATAAATAGTGGTGTGGCGTTGAATTCATATACATATTATATTATAATATTTAGTAGAATATTAATTAGTTATTCCTTTTAACTAGTTTTAGTATTAACCTAAAGTGGGTGAACCCTGTTATGTGGAAGGTGGGAAATAGTAGGTAGGTACTGCAAAAAAAAAATCATATGAATCATGATTCAATGTGCCTTTATTCGGATAGGCCGGCCGCCGCCCCCGCCCGCCCGCTGCGCGACGTCAAACGATCACAATAGCAATCATAGGGACCAACGTTTAGACAAATATACACCCCGCCCGGTCGCGTGAACCTTCTGTACGCAATAAGCTCAACGAAATATTTTGTCTCCAGGGAGTTGAACGAAATTTATTAAAACCTAGCTAAATTACATTTAAATAGATAATTTAAATCATAAATGAGTAATAAAAGTAAAATAAACATAGATTTAAACAAACATGTTACGATTATAAGATGTCGAAAATATAGATAGAAATCCAACGACAAAGTTTTCTATACAATCGTATAATAAGTAATTTCAATTATTCCTCAATATTATGGTTTGATATTGAATGGCATCGTGAACCGTCGCGATAGAGATTGGAATGCATATATGCATCGTCACTTTCCTATTTTCCAAACAACATAATAAGATATAAACAATATTTTTCCCACTTACGACATTTATGAATAAATTATAAGATTCTTCTTCTCTCAAAATATCTTCTATGATTATAATTAACAAGAGAAACTACGAGCTAAATACAAATATCCTTCATTATCTTCAACTATCTTTATCTATACTAACGATAATCAATGGGGGCCCCAAAAGACGTCGCGCCAAATGAAACATTTAAAATTTGAGACAATTGAATTAAATCTTTTCTTTTTTTTTTGTATTTAGATAGTCAAATTTCATAAATTTTAAAACAGGTTACTTATGAGTGTAATGGCTTTTTAATTAAATAATTAGGGGCCAACAAAGTCGATATAAAGTGTCTGTTCGTATTTCGTTTCTGCATTAGAACTTTCTTATATTTTAAAACAATATAGATTTTATTTATCTTTAGAATTTTATGCACACATTTATTTATATTGTTCATTTTAATAATTCTAATTTTGCAAGTATCTACATTCGTCTATTTTCTTAGGTCTGTGATAAATTTGTTACAATTGTGGTTTTTCGTATCGTTTGTTTGATCGACTATTATTTTTATTCTGGGAATGTTCTCGAAATTATGTTATTTGTTATATTTACTGTTATAATATCGTTTTAAAATTCACAGCGATTATAATAAGTTAATAATATTTTAAAATCACTTATATAAACTTACCACCTTACTATAAACTTCCGATCGTCTTCTTTTCATAGGAAAAATCCGTAATTGATAGAATGCAACCCCTTTGGACAAAACAGCAAAATTATTGGAGTGCCTTATGTAATTAATAATATGAAATTAGGAGAATGAATTTTATTCTAGCATAATTTGATGAAACACCATATAGATAATAGCATGGTTTAACTTCTTTTGAGCCGAGTAATTCTATAAGTAGATAAGATAATATTCTTACCAATTAAATTACCATAAATATTTAATTCGAGAAATATATAATATATTGAATGAAGTTAGCGAAGCACTAATATTTCATTCTTACATTAGTTATTTAATAGTTCTTTGTTATAATATTAAAAGTTTGATTTGAGTGAATATTTATAGAGATTTAAATATTAAGATAGTCAAGAGATGATGCTTCTATAAATAATTTGAGTGATTCAGTTGTTTCTATAGATTATACTATTAAATTTATTTGTTGCAGAATTTTACCAACTAGATATAGATTAGAAAAATTTTATAATTTTAGTCCAGTGTCATGATGTAATGATATAATAATTTAAAAAATCTTCGATAATCACATAGACATCTTCCAAACTGGTAAATGTAGTATTGTGTGACGGTACATTTACTTATTCCATATTTTAAGGGAGCCAGGTAACCAACAGACTTCGAAGTATTATAGTTTAAGAGTTATTTTTGGAAGCTCGTGAAGTTTACCCAGGCTAGATGTAGCATTGGTAAACTTTGATATGTTTGTAGATGTCAGCTAAAAAAAATGGTGATTTGATAGGAAAATACACGAAGAAAACAAATACACCACGATATACTAAAGATCTTAAATTAAGTATTTTATATTTTATTGATAATTTTGTGAAAATTGTAAAACAAATTGATGAGAAATTTTTAAATACAGATGTTATTAGAAACTGACATATTAAATTAAATAATATATGAAATGTTAAAGAAAAGTATATACTATCTTGAAATATATTGTAATTTTTATGTAAATGA